GACTCTGTGACATCAGCCCCGTGGCCAGGGGCACCACGGGCAACGCGGGTCCTGTGGGCAGTACGTCAGCTGCTGCTGCACTGTTGACAACGAGCCCTCGGTTCTCGCTGGCAGCAATGAATTTGCTCCTTCTCCTCGTCCTGCTGGCCCTGTGCCAGCCTGCACACGGCATGCGGGGCAACTGTGGGTAAGTGGGCCAAGGCTCTGGCAGGCAGCTGGGGCAGCCCTTATGGGGTTCACTGAGGCTGCCCGCTTGTCCCCCGTGGCCACACCACAGCTTCCCGAACCCCCTGCAGGAGCCTCAGTTCCCCGCCAGCACCCAGGCTGCTGGCACAACCCGTTGACAGGGCTAAAGCAGAAAGAGGGGCAGACAGGCGCACACCCCACGGGGTTCCCTGGCCCTGCCGTCCATGCAGCCCCTTGGGGGGAGGGAAGGCGGCTGACCTTCAGCCTCAACAGCAGCACAGCCGTCGAGCAGCACACTCATGAGTTTCTCCTTCCAGAGGGACCTGCGGGCTCCGGCCCATGGTGTCTCACTATGGCCCATCGCGCATCGTGGGTGGCACGGGTGCCCAGCCAGGGGCCTGGCCCTGGATTGTCAGCATCCAGAAACGCTGGAAAGCAGGCAGAGAGCACGTATGTGGAGGGACACTCGTCAGCCCGCAGTGGGTCCTCACAGCAGCCCACTGCTTCAGGAGGGCCAGGTAAGGAGGGCCAGGGAAAGGGGCTATCCCCACAGCACCATCAGGCGCCCTGTCCGCAGCGCCACGATCTCCTGCCATCCTGGTGCCTTGCAGTATGCCCGGTGCCGGGGCACTGGTGAGCCCAGCTGAGAGACTGCTCCGCAGAAGGCTGGGCTCATGCCACCGCTTCCTAGCAGCCTCCAGTTCCATGTTCCTGGTTCCTGGTGCCCAAGGCGTGCTGTGGCAGTGGCACCCTCCACAGCGCTGCTTTCCTCCTTGCCTTGGGAAGCAGAAGGCAGGGAACCGTGGGGCTGCTGCAGCACGTGGCTCCGCTCCCTCTGACCACTCTCTCCATCTGCCTTCCAGGAACATGACAACGTGGCGCGTGGTGATCGGGGCCACCCGTTTGACTCGGCTGGGCCCTGAGACCCAAGTGCGCCGTATTAAGCAGCTGGTGGTTCACAAACACTACTGTAACGTCACGCAGAAAAATGACATCGCCTTGCTGGAACTGGACCAGCCTGTCCAGTGCAGCTACCACGTACAGCTGGCTTGTGTGCCTGACACCTCACTCAGGGTGTCAGAGCTGAAAGCCTGCTACATCAGTGGTTGGGGTGCCACGAAGGCAAGATGTGAGTTCCCAAACTACTCATGTCCCGAGGGCAAGCTTGGCACGCTGGGGAGGCGAGCTGGGCTTCGTGGCAGCAGCAGTGGCGAAAGCCAGAGCTGGGCTGTGGGGACATACGGCCACGGAGGGATGGGCCTGAGCCATTAGCCAAAGCGGGACGGGATGAAAGGGCAAGCCCGGCACAAGGCCTCTGCAGGGGCAAAGGCGAGCCCTAGGGAAGGGCTTCAGCCACACAGGGGAGGAGAACTGGGAACAGAAGGGCTGCTGGCTGCTAACTCCTTTCTGTGCTCACAGCTGGAGGATCGCGTGCTGTCCTGCGGGAGGCCGAGGTCCCCCTCATCGATGCCAAGCTCTGCAACAGCAGCCGCTGGTACAGAGGGGCCATCCACCCCCACAACGTGTGTGCCGGCTATCCGCAGGGGGGGATC